AGCATAAAAATAAAAAGACATGTTCCATAAAAATAAAAGGACATGTCAGTACATGCTTTAGAGACAACAAGTTCAGTTCTATTGTATAATCCATAAGTGGAAAACGAAGAAGTAAATATAAAATCATTCCAAATGACATGTTGCTGGAATAGCATTGCGACAAGTCTTCTTATTATGACCAAGTATGTTGCACCTAGAACATTTTTGTCATTTCCTCCCACGATGCTCACCAATAGAAGGTATTCTTGACTTCTTGGGACGACCAGGTGGTCTTTTCAAACAGGCTGGAGGTTTACATTGAATAGTGGATATATTAGAAGGCACCAACCAAGATTCTCTATCACAGATAGGGTGCATAACACCGTTCCATGTAGAAAGCCAATAATCTCATGTGTAATATGGGGAAATATAATTGTAACAAGATTCACGAGGACGAAGACCTATAGCAGCAACCGCATGAACGCAGACAAAATGATTTAGTTGAAACTCTCCACACGTGCATGTTCGAGTTTGAAGATCCACTACAAAGGAGCGACAATGCCTATCAACAACTTCAAACTCAAAATATGATGTGGGCTTCACCTGCAATATGATTAAGATAAAATGCAATATGAAGGTCAGTGCAAATAAAATGCAAATGTGAAGTGAAATTGTAATGAAAGAAATGGTAGTAGATATGCAACTGGGAGACCAAATATGTGGCATAAATGCCAAGTATTTGGAAGTTCCGTTGCAAATTCAAGTATGGAGAATGCACTGCAATACATATTCAGATCAAAAATATTAAATGACTGACCTTCAACTTAGCAGCTTGTCTTTGAAGATCAACCAGATGCTTCTCCCTTTTGTTTGTCAAAATAGTTTGAGTGTTTTCAGCGTTTTCCTTTCTTTCAACGAACCACTTTTGCATCCTTTCTCTAATAAAGTCAATAAGCTTGGCAATACAATACTCCCTGACAGAAACATTGACGTTGTTCATTGATTCTGCGCAATTGGAAGTCATCACATCATAACGGCTTGGACCACACATACACTTTGCCCACTTGTGAGTACCAATTTTTCAATCCAAGGGCGTATACGAACATCTTGAGAATCCAACAAGGCCATATATTCCTCAAATTCCTTGATTGTTGCAGCCTTATATGCAGCCTTGAATTTCCAACCTAAATCAGTGGCATTCCCTTAAATTTTGAGCCCATATTACGACGCAAGTGCTCAACACAATAGCCATGGCTAGCATGAGGGAAGATCCGTTTAGCCGCACTAAGTATACCTTTATGTCTGTCAGATAGAATGTGCATATCCTCACGAAATGTTAGAGATTCAGACAATTTAGAAAAAAACCAAAGCCAAGACTCTTTAGACTCGGTATCACAAATTCCAAAGGCCAATGGCACAATGTGGTTGTTGGCATCTTGGGCACAAGCTGTGAGAAGTGTTCCTTTGTAGTATGCCTTCAAAAATGATCCATCTACAATTAGAATAGGTCTGCAAAACTTCCATGCCTCCATCCACGGTGCAAAAGACATGAAAAAATAACGGAAGACATCATCATCGTCTCTAATAAGAGAAAAATCAGAATGTGGATTTGCTTTGTCAAGCATATAAGCCATCGAAGGTAAAAGTTGATATGACTCGGCATCTGATCCGAATTGTTTTTGCATTGCAGTCTTTTGAGCTTTCCAAGACTTCTTGTATGACATGGAGATGCCATGCATGACACTCATGTCAGCACGTACCTTGTTTGCTACATACGGTTTTCTAGAAGCATCCAAGTACTTATGAGAAACAAGTTGTGCAACAATTCGGTATGTAGCCTGCCGATGCTTTCCTTGCCTAAAATCCACCGAGCATGTGTGGAATGAGTTAAACCTGTGACATGAAAAGGCAGAATAAATAAAATTGCAAGATTTGAAAAAAAGTCCACTAATTTGGCAGAACATATCGTAAAAGATGTATGCAAGTAAAATAACAAAGGATAGAAAATTACTTTCTGATTTGAAACATGAGCACCCCACGGAGCTTAACAGCCCTCACACTCCAGTTACATTTTTCGTGCAAACAAACAACGTGCAACTATGCTCTTCTCGATGTGCGCGTTTTGTATTGAAAACCATTATCTATGGCATACAACATTAAATGATGGATTAGGTCTGCCTTAGACTGGTAAATACCATCGACAATTATCTGAGTAGGATGATAATGAGTGATGACTTCCAAATTGTGATGAATAGAATATATATCAGAAGAATACGAATGAGAAGGAGGTGAGTAAGGCGGTGAGATAGAAGGCCTAGAACATCCTGGTTCATTGACAATGGTAACATGATTACATGGTGAGCGGTTAAATGTTTGTGCAGAATTGGGTACATGGTCATTAAAAGCAGAAGAATGGACCTCTTTAGAATTGTTCGTATGATATGAATGGTGGTGATAATCAGAGCAACCTTCGTTTGATGGAGAAGGAATAGCAAACATGTCGGTGCGTGATAGAAAAACAGTGAGTGCATGAGGAAAATCACTTGAGAATTCAACACACAAGGAGAGTTTATGAAAATCAGATTGGAGTAATTTAAGGTGAAGGAATAAACGAAAGCTATCCTCATCATGAATGGAAACAGGTGGAGGGCATTGATCAACCATATAAGATAATTGGAAGTGACTATGTGGTTTGTATGAAGTTGAAATTGAAGAAAGCTCAGACATAAATTCACCAAATGTGGCAGAATATCGAATGTGCATGCCAAATTTGTCTTTACAAGTAAAAGTGTAATCACTGTCCCAGCTACCATCCAAGCTCAGCATTATCAAAACAACAGAATCCATATGGATAACTACAAAAAAGGTTAAAAATAATTAAATTTGAAACATATTTAGGCAAAAGTGCAATGACATAGGTACAGTTTCATATAATGTGAAATGACATATATGTGGCATAAAAACAATTAACAGAATAACAAAAGGAAAAAAATTGCAACTCAGAAACATAACATCAGCCAAACTTGGGAAGAACACTTGTTTGTGCAGAAAGTGAAACTCTGTAGTCAAAACATTGAATTTTCAACAACAAGTAACGAATAGGTAAGTGTTCTGAGTTGCGATTTTTTACCTATATAACAACAACAATGTTATAACAACAGCAATGTTATAACAAATAGGCAAATGTTTGCTCCTATATAGGTAATTTTCTTAGAATAGTGATCTTAGGGAAGAGCAGAAGATGAGAATAAATAACAATTATGTATGAACATCAATTCACACGAAATTCATTGAAATCAACTACTTCGTCAAAACTGATACAAACGAAATTTGAAGAAGAAATTGTGTTCAATAAAAACAATAGCAGCTGGAGAGGATTACCAGATTCGTCGTACGCCATGAAGGAAAATCAAGGAATTTCGTCAGCGAAGTTTGAAGAAGAGAGAAGAGACGTTGCGTAGAAAAGAAAAAAAACGGAAGGTAGGAAAGGCGGCGGAAGAGAGGTTCGGGAAACGGTTAAACGAATCTGGGAAATAATCTGGGGAAATAATGGCGCAATAATACCAGGGGCAAATTTGGAAGCCAATTTTTGTATGTTTTTGAATAGGAGTATAAAACTCCTATTTAGGGAAGAAAACATAAGAACTCCTATTTAAGAATTTTCATATACTTTTACTCCTGTTTTAGGCGCAAGTTATACCGTGGGATCGGCCCATGATGCGCATGGTGTGCCGATCCCCATACGACATCGTTTTGCACTTAAAAATCAGAGCAGCACGTTGTTCTTATTTTCCAGCGACGACAACCTCCTTCCTTTCCCACTTCCCAATCACCGACTTTGGTTTGCGAGACACATAGAAACAGCCAAATAGCTTATCACAGAGCACCGAATTTAGAGCAGTGATTCCTTCTTTGTACGATGTATACGGAGATGGCTAGAGATCTGGAAACTTCCATAGAAAAATAAAATTTTATACGGAGATGTTAAACGTTTGCTATCTGCTGGTTCAATTTTGATGCTTTGGTATATCATTTACAGAGTAAACGTGATATTGGAGCAAATCAATCTAATTGATGGGCTTTGGGTATTCATATTAAAACAAATTCCATCTTCTTCTGGGCAAGTTACATCTTAATGTACGCGAGTTACATCTTAATATACGCGAGTTACATCTTAGTGTATGTGAGTTACACCACGGAATAAACCTCTGCTATATCATTTTTATAGCCCTAATATTAAACATAAAACACATTCACTATTTAAAAAAAGTAATTAAGCTATTAGGATCAATTTTTCATTGTTTTCATTGAAATCAATGTTTATGACATACTCCCTCCGTCCCTAATAACTTTGCCAAGTTTGGCCGACACTTAGATTAATAAAGTGAAAACTGTGTGGTTGAGGTTTGTGCAAAGGAGAAAGAATTAACTGGAACCACAAATTCTTTACTTAAAAGGGAAAGTGACAAAGTTAGTGGGACATCCAAAAAAGAAAAGTTGGCAAAGTTATAAGAGACGGAGGGAGTATACATTATTCTTAAACACACACAAAAAATGTTCAATTTTTCAAGAAGTTACATTCTGTATACATCTAAGTTATATTTGCCATCAACGCGAGTTACATTTGTAATAACATGAGTTACATTAAAAAATCAACCCCTGCTATTGAAACAAAAAAAATATTTTTTTAAAAAATTTTTTTTTTTATGGTCATGATATTAAAAACAAAACATATTCACAATTTACGTAAAACAATTGTGAAATTAGACTCTTTTTTTTCATTGTTTACATTGAAATCAATATTGTATTTTTAATACTATGTATTTGACAAGTTGCATTTCGAATGCACTTGAGTTACATTAATCAATAACGTAAGTTACATATCTTTACTCGCGAGTTACACCATTCATGCTATTGGGACAAAAAGAAAGAAAAAACAGTTACTGTACACGCGTGTACGGTTCAAGCGAATTTTTTTAAAAAAATTTGAGTAAAGCTGCTTAGTTTTAGGCAATTTCTGTATAGAATAACCCTAGTTAATTATCACCTACCTCAAAATTAAATCCCAGCCCAAACCTTTCAACTTACCTGCGCGGCTGCGCCTCCTCTCACGCAAACTGGAAGAACGTGGAGCTCAGGAGTCAGGACTTCGAAGAATAGTAGGAAGGTCGAAGAACGATTGACGAAGACGGAGTGGCGCCTGTGGTTACGACCAAGCGACAAAGACGCGAACACCAGGGCCCTGTGTCGGCCGTTCTTCCTCTCCCCGGATCCGGCCCTGCCTGCGGACTGCGGCCTCTGCCTCCAGCTCCACTGCTCCAGGGGTCCGCTCAGTCCAGGTATAATTTGTGTTTTTAACAGTTTAGTCTTTTAGATTTTTAATCTATTATTTTGTTAGTCTTTTAGGGTTAGCAAATCAATTTGATTATTTTAGATTATTAATTTAACACTGCTAACAGTACTATTATTTTTACCCTATTATTTTTCGCCTTTTAGGGTTAGGGAATCAATTTGATTATTAATTGATTTTTCCAGTAGATAATAAAATAGTGTTCATTCATCGAAAATTTATTTATAATGATTAAAGATAGAACTAAAGATAAGAGAATGTTTCTTTTATTATACGATAAAAGAATAGAGAATGATTTATTTACTGTTTAGATATGTAAGAAAGGATTAAAAATCTCAATTCAATTTTAAAATTGGGAATACTTATTAGTTTTATGTATAACGATTATTTTACCTATTAATTTTATACTTTTAGAAGTATTTTAATTCATATCAATAAATAGTTAAATACTAAAATCTTTAACAATCATTAATAAACTTATAAAATCACACTAGAAACGTTTAAATTTTAAGATATTCTACCTCCGCCCCTTTTTATTTAGCCATATTTGACATTTTTCAGTCAAATATGATAAATCTTGATCCATTATTTTAACTAATATAATAATGTGAAATTTAATAAATTTATACTTTATATGATAAAATTTCTAACAAAGAACATTTTTGTATCATTTTCATATTATCAATATTACTGTATAAATATATAATCATTCAAAGTTTAACTTCTTTGACTTGAAAAGTCAAATTTGACTAAATAAAAGTGGACGGAGGTAGTATACAATTTATTTCTATAATTTATAAGTTATCGATATGCTCAAATTCAGATCGAACTGAACACGATCGACTATGCTCGAATTTGGTTTGAATAACTACTCAAACTCAAAATGTAGCATGTGTTCGAGTTCGAAGCTCGTTAGTTAAGCTCGGGTCATTAAATTAAATTGGAAATCACGTTTGAACTCGAGTAATTCGAAAAAATCTAAGTTCAATAATTGTCCTAAGCTAAACCTTTTGTGCGCAGTAGCAAAAAAATTACTGCTTAACCCACCCCACCCCTCATATCTGGATCCGCCCCTGGTTGGTACACACTGGTTTGATAAAAACTCATTGAACCTTTAAGTGAACTTAAAGATGTTTGTGTTTTGGTTTGATTAGTGTTTGTATTGTTTGGTTGGTTAATGAAATGAGCAAAACATGTTTTAGAGCTAAACAAATAATGCTTAAATAACAATTCAAGAAGCTCGTTTGATAAAAGTTTGATAGTTTGGTCAGACAAACTTGATTTTATAATGGAGTAATTCTTAGGGTTGAATGGTTGAAAACAAGCAGACTCCAGCTTTTAATTGAATCGGCGAAGATGGCTCAAGAGCTGAAGCCAAATAAGACTCCGTCAGGGCCATCGCTCCACCAAATGGACGCGGACGAAGAAGACGATACTGTCAAGCAACTTCAAGAATGCTCTGTCCATTACCTAGCTTTACAGGATTGCCTTGTTGAAAAGAACCGTAACTGGAAATCATGCCAAAATGCAGTCAAAGCTTTGAAGGCTTGCAATGAGAAGAGAAGTAACAAGAGGGGGAGTTGATCCTTGGAGAAACATTTTCCATTTTCAATGAAAATTGAAAGAGAAAGGATTTTTAGTGCATCACTTTGCAAATGATGCGTGGTTTATTATTACGGAATAATTGACAAGTCCACAAACATGAACAAATGAAGTCTTATTGTGAGGACTGATTGGGTTTTGTACTGTCTTTATTCTCATGATAATATGGTTTATTCTAAAAAACCAAAAAAAACTTGATTGTATAAAACTAACGGAGACTCTACTGCCTCTTCATTAGCAGGTTCTTTTCTTGTTTATATTTTTATTGATCGGGGATTTGTTTTCGTTTTAGGCAAACCCTCATTTATTCATTTTAGCAAAACTAAGTGCGCAATCATATATTTCACAATTCTGGTCATTGAATCATAACTCTTGTGCAGTTGTTCGGCAAACTTGATGAGCTAAATGATGGTATCTGAATAATAATTGTTCAACGTCCTTAATTACTGTATGGCCTTAATTCTGTTGTAGGTTTTAAGTATAGCGTGCTATGTATTTTATAGTCACTGTGTTAACCTTGCAATTATAAAGCATAGGGCATTTGAGCGGAAAGATTCTAGTTGCTTTTCATTTTGGAACAAGGCAGAGAGAAACACTCGGCTTGCAAAATTTGTCAGGGTGAGTGAGTTCAAAGAACAAGTATGCAAGTTCCAAAAGAGAACGATGCGTTTTTTAACAAAAGTAAAGTTATGTGGTTGATAATGAATTGATAAAGTGGGAGTAAAGTAAGAATGAATTATAGCTATACAATATTAACAAATATCGTATGCGAAAAATTTAGTGGGACGAACGGAAAAGAAAAAAATTAGACAAATTAAAGTATGACGGATATTTATTTATTCAAAATGAAGTTCCGTGTTGCCCTCATTTTTATCTAGGACCTCCATTCTATGGTTTGATTTTATTATATTCCTTGTCTAGTTTCCAGCTTCAAGATTACACCATCAGAGCCAACCAGTCCACTAGTCTCTGGCAGAGTTTATTAGTGGTGCCGATCTAGTCCTCCGAAATTCCGTCTTCTCAAGTAATTGGCAAGAGTGCTACCAGTTATGCCTTTCACATGAACAATACACGGTCCGCCCGAGCCTTGTCCATGACGTTGGTCCAAAGTTGCTAGGTACACGCCAAAATACACCTTTTTTATTATACATAGAAATGATGAGAGCATATTAATGTTGAAAGTAGTCATTGTGAACTGGTATTAGAAACATGGTATACTATAATTGCTATCCTCTCTCTCCTTGCTGCTGCTACGCTCGTCTTCATCCCCTTCTGCTGCCATTAGAAACAGGGTATATACTATAAGTGCTACCTTCAAGAACAAATGTGTCATTGTGTTCATTCCCTGTGTGTGCATTTACATACCTTCAAGATTTCCTAAAGAACTACTCCGTATATGGCATGTGTTTGTTCACACAAACTGTTCGCCAAAATGTCCCACACAAGCTTAATGATATGTTACTTGATCTTACCACATTCAAAACCTGCCTTTCATTCTTAGACTATTAAATAAAATAGAGTAGATTTTAGTCTTGCAGAGTAATGACCAATAAATTGTTAAATTACAGAATAAAAAGGTAATTTCTAGTCCTTTACAAAACTGACCATTAACATTATGGAACCATAACATCAACTAGCTTCAAATATCTACTACGGTGTATATCCCTTTCCTCTACTCATCAACTATTAAAGTTATTCCAGGTGTATCAAATGTGTTTTTCAGATTTTAACATTTGGCATTTGACTTGCATATTCAGCAATTGATATACCTGGAAGTTCTTTTTTATGTACTCCGCTGAGACTGTGGAGTATTAGCTATACATTTTTATGGGCTTCCTTCATCAAATGCTAGATGTATAACTTCATTCAAATGCTAAATGTAAAACTTCATTCAATTGCTAAATGTAAATAGCTAATACCACCTTGATAAGAAACAATGACAAGCATAAAACAAATTACATCAACGTTTCATAGCCGATAATTACAACAAAAGCCTTAAATTACCAGTCAGTTGGTAAAATGTATGTGATGAGGCTATTTTCTTAAAAATATCAACTTATCATCTACATGATCAATTGACCGTTTTTAAATTACATGTCCAAACACCCCTTGACTTCCACAAACTTAATTTTAATGTAATATAAAAAAGAACTTCAACTTAAGTTCTTCACTATACATCTTCCGCATACAGTCTCAGCGGAATAAGCCAAATATAGTACTTCGTAGTATTAATACATCTTATACCCATATCAATTTCGCATATAGCTTTTGTAGCAAGTTATACACGAACATTACACAATTCAGTTCGCTTTAAAATCTGAAAAACAAATTTGATATACCTGGAAAAAAGGTTTTAGTTATACATTTTTTGGGCTTCCTTCAAATGCCAATCGTAAAATTTTATTCAATGCTAATTGTAAATAGCTAATATCACCTTGTTAAGAAACAATGACAAACACCAAAACAAACTACTTCGACACTTGACAGGTGACAATTATAACAACATCCTGAAATCACCATAGTCTTTACTCTTCAGTCAGGAAGTTATCCCCGAGGAGCCTATTTACTTAAAAAATATTTCAACTTATCATCTACATGGTCATTGCTAAATTACATGTCCAAACTTCATCGACGTTTGATAGCCGATAATTACAACTATTTCTTACTGTACGTTTGCTAAGCTTAACTCAGCAAACTTTCAAAAAATTCAATACCCAATCGGCTATTAGCCTTCTTAAATTTAGTCATCTAATTAAAACCTCTTAAGTATGCCATTCACAACTGTATACTATCATCACAAGAAGCCAAAGTTTTTTCATCACAAATGAGCAGTATGTATATTACTAACGTAATGAATTAGATTCATATCTACACTTCTCGTTATTCCTCACCATCCGTTTTGATCGGTAATAAATGCTTAAGGTTTGAAAACGAAGACCTATGTGCTAAAAGACCCTTACAATATAGAGGATTGAGAATGAAGAACTATGATTTTAATGAAACATTAATATAATTTAATGTTTTAAACAATTTTGTGGCACTGGGGTAATGATGATGATGTTGAATTAGTATGCTATACTATACCTTATTTGGAAATTAATAATTCAATTCTTTTTCTGTTTGTTTTAAATGGTTATCATGTACAAGAAAATGTACAACCAATTTCACAGAAAGTGATGAAAGCAAAAGTATTTACTTATATATCTATTTTAATTGAAGAGTTGATAAGGTAATTTACTAACGTCGCCTGAAAGTCGACTTCAACTTCACAAGAGAAAATAAAAGCACTTATACATACGTGAAAACTATATACACATAAAGGATATAGCAGATGTATTCAGACTTGTTACATGCGAAGTGCAGGTGAGCGATGGATTTGTACATACCTTTTACAAAGCAACCAGGGGGTGAGATGTGAGAAAGCGCCACTTTTTCTGTTGCTTTTTCATTCCGAGTTTATGCGCAAAAGCAACACTTTTTTACACTTCTCACAAAAAGCGGGCGTTTCTGGTTAATTAAATTAGTTTTAGTTTTATTTTTATCGTTTATCTTCATTATCCTTTTATGTTCTTATGTTATTTTCATGTTCTATCTTTTTTATGTTTTTGTACATACCATTTTGTCTTGCTTTTTCCCCTTATCTTTATTCTCTTTTTAGCACTGATATCATGGATCAATTCATGTTAGCCGACCCCAAATTCTTTTGGGATTAAGGCTTGGATGTTGTTGTTGTTGTAGGGTTGCATCTTGTGACTCTTTTTAGTTTAATCTCATAAAAAGCTTCTCATCTTCTCCTATCCTTCTGGATTGCAAAGCGGTCTTCTGCTAAGCTTCTCAGTTGGTTTTCCGCTCCAGGTAGATTAGTAAATGAATTCTGAACTTCATCTTGCACTATGAAAATTCATAGTAACTTCAACCATTGATAGGATCACATAAATACTGCAATTCTGCATGAATCCGAAACATAGTATTTGACATTACAAAAATATGTTAAATATTCTGCAACTATTTTTATTTTATTTTTAAAGTACGATATATGGTGTGCTTCACAGTAAAACTATGACTATAGATAGCAGAGTCCTTTTAGATCTTGGCGTGTTCCCTGTTGGAATCTTAACCATTGTAATAAGATTAGAATTCCAAGGTAGTAATTTCAAGCTTTAAAGTTCATAATTGTGTAAAAATCTTTACCAGTACACCGCTAGCTCGCTCTAACAATTTTTTTGTCCAATTTTTCTGTTCAGAGTTCCTCAATTACTGCATTGCTCTTTATTCTTTTGGAAAGGGTACTGTTTGAAGATCACATTAGCTTCTCTTTGAGGCATATTGTCAAACTCCTGGTGCTCTGTAAAGACGATTGATAACTGGTCAAGATGGATGGTGAGTTATCGAATACCTGGTGCTCTGCATTGAAGACTGCTTATTTCTCTGTAACTGTTCATTTTTTTCGCAACTTTTTTAGTATTATCTTCCTAAATAATCTTCGAACTTCAGGAAATTTGCAGAGGAAATGTAAAGCTACATGGTTGGCACTTACGAAAATAAACTTGGTTTTCTTGCACTCAAATTCTTTTTTGCATAAAGGCATAAACCTTTTTAGTTTTTCACACTTCTTCATTTCTTCGATGAATGTCCACTTTCAAGTAGTCCTCAGTTTGAGAAAAGGGAGAAACGATCCTTCTTGGCTAATGGAGTTATATTTTACGGACGACATTATTATAGTTAGAATGAGATCTAATGGTCAAAAATAGCTCTTTGTATCATATTATGCAATGAATTTGTAGCAGTCTGGATTTTCATGGTTTGACATAACAATTTCTTATGTTTTGCTCATATAGTCGATGCTGAGCCTACAATGGATGAAACTATTTTGATCGATGAAGATCTAATGGTGGGCCCACCATCACCAATCATTCCACCAGAGATAGCGTCTCATGTTCTTGAAGGCATTGATACTTGTGATGGGCTTTTAAGGAATCTTTTCCTATGTAAGAACTCCTCATCTGAAACTGTTTTCCTCAGCATTGTTCACATAACTAACATAAGATTTGGCTCATTAAATCTTTTGTGATGTAGGCTTACAAGTCAATGATATTGAACCATTCTGTCAAGATGAGATTATCATGTATCAACAATGTGCAGAAAAAAGGGTGACAGCCATTTGTTTTATTATTACCACTCCACATATTTGAGTTTGCTTTCAAATGATTGACACTAATTTCTTTGAAATCATAATTCTAGTTGTGTATCACTCCAAATATTTGAGTTGGTTTTTCAATTGACTGATGCCAATTTCTTTGAAATGACAATTGTAGTTGTGAATCATATGAGTCTACTAGTCACAGAATGATTCCGCACCACAACTTTGGTAATTGCTTTTTGAATAATTTACTTTCTGTTTTTGTGGGTTGATTAAAAATTTCTGTAGTGCAGGACAAGGAGCTAAGACAACGACTTCAAGATAGTGAGCATAAATTAGGGCTGTCAATGCCTCTAGAGAAAGCAAAAGAGCGAGCGATCCATCTAGAATCTGAAGCTACCTCTCTAGAGAGGTACTTAAAGTTTAATGTGGGTTGTGAACTTGTGAGTTATCAAGTTGTGTCCACTATATTGTTCTTAAGCAGATAAACTACAAATGTGGTACTTGATAAAAAGAGTAGGGGCAAGCATCGCCTGAACTCCTGCTCGTTTTTAACTGGATGTTCGTGGGTGGGTGTTGTCTGTATGGGGAAAAGGAAAATGGCTGATAGTGTATATTTTTGGATGGCGTAAAACTGTAAATTTAGGCAAGCATTTGAAATGTTTTTCCTGCCACAATGTTGGTTTTTTGAAGCAATAAAATCTAGATCATACACCTCTGTAGTATTAAGAGATTTAGACAAGAAAAGAAGGTATGCATTCTTTGGTCAGCAATCAGCATGTGCATATTTGATTGTGATTTCTTGATCTTAGAAATAAATCGTTGCTTTCCTGATCTAGACGCTTTATATTGGCAAGTGGAGTTGAAGGCATGGAAGGATTTCGACAGAGGTGGAGTCTCCACGGTCGCATGACTGATACCAAGTAAGCTATAACCGATTGTCTAATGAACTTGACATTTAGCAGAAAAATTTACAGTCCACCAATTCAGAACCATTAACCCGTATTGACATTGGACCACTTGATACATTGGTGTCAGGAGAAAGGTCATAAAAGCGGATTTATTTGATACATGATGGAAGACATATATTAGGGCATGTTGAAATTTAAGATATATCTCAAGGCTGGATTATGTACCTACCACACAGGCATGCCATTTTGCTAGCGATGGGAATGGGTTTTGAAGGGGTTGTTTTAGACTTAAAAAAACAATAATATTGGATATGCATGAATAATTTGTCGCGTACATGTTTGATGAGCTGTTTTTAGGGTGTACGGTTAGTCCGTAATTAGATGGTGTGTTTGCCTCCTACAGGAAAAGGCTAGAGTCTCTAAAGCAGGGTATAGAGAGTAGAAGAAAGGATGACAAGCCAACTGGAAATACCTTCACCAGCAACAAGTGGTTCTTCTGGTGATCTGCGATGCACAGGTATAAAGATATTGAGCCATGCTATGGTATCTGTGTATCCGATGATATCTGAGACCAATTTTTATAGATACACAAACAGTATGAATCAGGACCGTACCATGTGATACTCATATGCTTAGCCCAAAGCATGTATGTAAGCTATCCCCCCCCCCCCCCCCCCCCCCCCCCCCAATTTCCAATCACAGCATATTCAGGTGCATGACAAGATATATTACTACTTCAAATTATTCATTATTTATTTGACGGTCTGCATTTAAAATCAATCTTACTAAACGATATGGATGTGAATGCAAACAATTGATTCTGATGTTATAAATCTAAATTTGGAGATGTTATCATGATGGTGAGCTTTCGATATTATTGTTTCATTCATGAACTTTTGGTACTATGAGCGTGTTTGACATATAACGGTTAGTTGATAGTGGGATATATTAGTGGATTGTCAGTAGCGGATTCAATTGGGGATTTGACTAGTGGAATAAGTTGGCGGATTGCTAGAATATGTTTGGTAATTTAGCTGTTTGGCCACAATATTTAGTAGAAAATGTCAAATTTCAAAACGCTGACTCGAAATTCTCCTATTTGCAGCGTTTTCATTTCAGCGGTTCTGTCCAAAAATGCTATGGTCAAACCGTCAAACTATTTACCAAACATCATTTTCACTTATTGAAAACGCCAAAAGTGGTCTAACCACCATTTTTTTGGTTGAAACGTCATTTTTCAAACATCCCCTACATTTTGCAAAACCATTACGTGCAGCACGGCAGCCTATATTTTTCAACTCAAGGCTAGCGCCTAGGGATGGACCGGGCCCGGCCGGGCCTCGGTTCATGAAGGGGGAGGCCCGAAACCAGCCCGGGTAACCCCCGGGTCTGGGCCGTGCCCGGCCGGGCCTCGCTTATATATATATATATATATATATATATATATATATATATATATATATATATATATATATATATATATATATATATATATATATATATATATATATATATATATATATATATATATATATATTTTGGCTTTTCCTAGTTAACCTCCAACCCTCCCCCTCACCCCCAAACACACCCTAACCACCTCAAATGGCCCAAAATACCCAGCCCAACCCAAAAACTTAAAAACAAATTCAAAAAAAAAAAAAAAAAAAAAATTGGCCCGGCCCGGGCACGAACCGACCGGGCTGGTTAACCTTTTGAGGGGCCCGAGCCTGAACCGTCATCCCACCGGGCCGGGTGGCCTGAACCGGGCAACCAACCGGTTCACCGGTCCGGTTCCGGGCCGGTTGGCCCGGCCCGAGTCCACTCCTACTAGCGCCTAACCGGTCAAATAGTTATTAAGAGCTGGCCTTGCAGATTTAGGTGTTGTAAAACAAAGTTCTGTCTTTAATGAATAAATAAAAACAGAAATGAAAACAAATTGAAGTGTGCACTTAAAATGTTTTTACTTCAACCTATTTAAATTCCAAAGTAGAACTGACCAAACTTAAACAAATTAGATCACATTTAATTAAATCAGATCTGACTTTGACAATTGGAAAAAGAGAACAAAAAAAAACAAAACAAATACTAGACATCTATCAAATTGGACCAATTTAGACTAGATTAGACGTAAATCTAAATCAGAAAATTTCAGCCTGATTAAAACATCCATTTCCACGTGGAATTTGTGTGATCACAAATCATTATTACATTATTCTTTCTCTATCAATTCAATTAGTGGTGGATTCGGGCTGGGTGGTCCGACCCGGAATCGGCCCGGGACCGGCATTGTTCGGTCAGTCACCGGTCCGGGTAGGCCTGACCCGAGGGGTTTCTGGTCCTGGCTCAGGTGGCTACCTGGGCCGGTCTCGGGTCCACCTATTCAGACCCGCCGGTCCATCCGGGCCTAGGCCTGACCCAGACCTGGCCCGACTCGAATTCACCCCTAAATTCAATATTGATATAGTATATAGTGTATAGACTTGGACTCCTCGTCTCACAACTATTAAGCCTGAACAACGGTCCACACATGCTTAATAGCTATCATTTACTCCCTCTGTCCCCCTATAAACTATAATTGTCCAATTTTTCCATTTTTGGATGTTCCTTTATTATTGTCTCATACCATATTTGGTAACATTTGTGTGACTCTAATTCATTCTTACTTTATTTTCACTTTATCAACTCATTACCAACCACATAATTCTACTTTTCTTAAAAAGCACGTCACTCCCTTCCGTACCAATATTAGGGGGGCGGAGGGAGTATATTATTGTATAGTTTGTTATGTAGCTGGACTCGTCATGTCTATATTAGCTAGCCCAAGGTTTTGTTCTGGTTAAAATGCTGGTAGTTCTGGTTCCTATAATTGCAGACAGGTCTACATCTCGCACAAGTTATGGTGGGAGAAGATTAACGCATATTCCATTTCCCACAACCTGAAACAACATTACAAGTTCATAACAATGGATAAATCACAGAGCAGTATGTCCAATGCAAGAGAACCCAACCCCAGACAACACTAAATCTTGTTGTTTGTTAGTTGTTACATGTGGTTTGTAATAAGAATCTACAACAGAAAGAAGGAAGAAAAAAACGTATCTCACCAACAAATGAGTCATCACAGAAAGTTTGCATCATTGTGCTCATAGATATCTAAGATGAGTAACCCCACGGAGTATGGACAGAAAAAGGTTCACGGAAAGGGAATGAGGGAGGGTAGCTCCAACAACACTATTTAAAGGATCTTTTGTCCAATCCATATCATTATCTGACCATTTCACTGCAGTTTCCTATCCTTGGCTTAATCATCAAAAACTCAACCTCTGTCAGGCGTCAAGATCATTTAGACTTATAGTGAATGTATAGCCTCTACTCCAGCAAAGAGAAATCCACTGGCCCTAAGTCCTTGACTAATATGCAGCAAGTAATTCTTGCAAAAACAGAATTGGTAAGCACTAATAAGAGTACCCTATGCAGAGGTTCCCGGAATGTCTTTGGTAGTTGAGCAAGGTTCCAGAGGCTGCCTTGCTACAACAGCAGGTTGAGGTGGCTTCTCTGCAGATGGGGTCCATGATGGTCTGTTGGGGCGGATATTTTCAACTTCCTTTTGAGGGATATCAAACTGCAACCACCATAAATAAGACATGTAAATCAACCACAAACACAAACCGCAATATCTGGTGAAATAAGGACTAGAAATATGGTTCAAATAAGGACTACAAAAAACATATAGCTTGCAAAAAGAGTTCCTAAATTTAGGAACATATAACATGAGAAAATGTTCAAAAATTGACTACAATAGCATATAATTTCAAATACGGAGTATATTTTTTAGTAAATAGACATGCTTTTGATTATAGTACATCTCACCAAACTATACTTTAAGGCACTTTATATTGTCTCTGCTCTCTTTTTGTGGTATTCCAAAAAAACGAAATTATGACAACTGGGAAAATGGATTTCACTTTTTTGTTGGCATTTTCCAAAATAACATGTATAACTACTTTCCACTTAATCATACAACCAAGGTCATATCATTTAAAATGTAAAGCAAAAACTAAAAGTGACTGATGCCGAATGAGCCTTAAAGTAATTGAAGCATTATGTCTAACGGTCTAAGCAATGTAGTGGTTATTGAAACATGAGCTAAAGTATAGCATTCAAGCATAGATAGTAGATAATTGAATATGATTTTTTCTAGGGATAAATGAATATGATTTGTAGATTCCGAGGCATGTGCATATAAGGCATAGAAGCAAGACCGGAGTGTTACCAGCCATGCTAAACAGATTAAAAGCAGAGCAAGAAAACCAACAGGAAGAATGAATAATTACAAAACATAGTACCACATATACATAGATCGAAGTTAAATTACCTTGTATCCACAGCCAGCTACACAAGCGCGAAAGCATTCCTGTTTGAAAAATGGAAGTATCTGTTATCTATACAAGCAAAACTTTACTAGTCGTGATTGATTTACCCATTTACCTGTTCAAAAAAAGAGGTATTTTTTAGGGGGTTGAATAGGTTATCCAGAACGGGCCCCCGATTTATGGGGCCCCAGATTTTTAAAAGTTTATTAGTATTATATATTAATCAATAAAATACAGTTTATGGAAGAAAAATATAGATCCATCATTTTTTCGTTAGTTTCTAAAAAAACTATAAAGGGTGAATCGGAAGGTATATGACCACCTATTATGTTACTCCAATTTTTGAAAAAACTGATATACATACATACATACATATATATATATATATATAAAATATTCCCGTCCGGCCAGGCTGAATAGGAGGGTGGTCCGGCCACCTCAATTTTAGATAATTTCCACCTAATTTGAGCAAAAAATTCAATATGGAAGACAGTCAAATGTTTTTTGGAAGATAACTGCATTTTATATGTATATTTTGGCGCACTTATCTTCCAAAAATCATTTGACCGTCTTACTGATTGAATTTTTTACTCAAATTTGGTGGACATAATCTACACTTCATGAGGAATATGCTCAAAAAATTTGAGCAAAAAATAACAACGGGAACCACCCCAAAATGAGGTGGCCAGACCACCTTCCTGTCCGGCCTGGCCGGACAGGAATAGCACTATGTATATACAAGTATATAGTAGCAATCCTGTAAGGCCAGCCTGACAAGATTTGCCGCCCGGCTGAGGGCATTTAGGGGGCTTCCCGGTGGAATTTTTTGATGAAATTTTTTGAGCATGTTCTTCATCAAGTCTAGTTTATTCCCACCAAATTTCAGCTAAAAATTCAATCAGAAAGGCAGTTAAATAATTTTTCTCGAAAAACTGCGCTGTTTAGATATATAAAGCGCAGTTTTTGTAAGGAATTTGTTTAACTGTTTTCCCGATTAAATTTTTAGTTGAAATTTGGTGGGGATATACTAGACTTGATGAAGAACAATCTCAAATCAATTCATCAAAAAATTCCACCTGGAAGGGTCCCATAGAGCCTGTTTAAATGGAGGGTTTGAAAGGGAAGGTATGGGAAGGCTTAAGGCCTTAGTCTATATCTTGATAATTTGCATGTTTCTAAAAACTAATAAAGGGCGATTTCAATGATATACAAATCGTTACATGTAGATCTTTCAATTTTTCTAAAATTCAAATATATGAAATATAGACTAAGCCCTCCAAAACCTTCCTTTACAAACCTCTTCAACCTCAACAGACTTTTAAGGCCACTTTGGGAGGAGGGTTTTGGATTGGAAGGTCTCGTAGAGCTTAATCTCTATCACGAAATGTGAAATGTAGTCTTGATACATAAATTCTGAAATGTAGTCATCCATAGCAAAACCATAATGAGGTACCCATATGGCCATATCTTTGTGAGTGTTTTATTTTACTTTTAGTTAAACCATGTGAGTTCAATCGTAAAATTAATTGTCAAAAGATAACAATTTCATAGGAAGTAAGAAAAGATAAAAGTGCCTCTGAATAGCCAACAGCCCCAGGAGAACGATCAATGTAAGAACTCCACTTTTGATCCTTCAAAACTGGATCTTTGTAACACAATTCATCACATTCACCTAAGCCTGCAATTAAGGGAAAATAGCCCTTTATACTCAAACTAATCTAATGTAGTGATCTTTGTATATCAGTAAAAAAATGCAGCAAACCAGTGTTTGGTCATTGATGTAAGTAGTACTATCTCCGTCCCAAAGAAATGTCATGTTTAACGCTAACCAACATATTTGGGTAACGTAGTAAGGTACAACTCCTATTTTTTAGACGTTGAAAGCAAGCTACAACTGCTATAGTGTCTTACTTATATTTTCAAAATATATTTGCTAGTTTAGAAAAATTAATTTTATGTAAGTTACATATAATTAATTTTTCTAAACTAGCAAATATATTTTAAAAATAATAGTTTTCTTTGATCATACAAGACTTCTGGGACAAAAGAAAGTGTTAAAGATGAATCGTTTTTGTGATGGAGGGAGTAGTTTATAGTTTGGCAGAAAATTAACATCCCAAACAAGCTAAGGAGCTTTCTGTTAGAAGACTTAGAACAGCTCCATGGATAACTATGTATGTTTTCACTTGTACTGATTCAGTCTCGGACCATGTCGACCTTGACCAAACTTAGATAAACTACACCACACTAGATCAGACACACAAACTGGACATGACTTGGATAATAATAAAATACACATAACACCAGACTAGACCAGTTCAGACCAGACCTGAAAATTTCAGTCTAAGTGAAAGCATCCTAAATTTGGCATAGTTTGTTGCTTATGATAATGGTAAAAGCTCATAAAAGTCAATGGAATTAAACATTGAATACTATAAAATTGTTAGGTTCATCGGCATGCCACTTTAAGAAGCCTTCCCATGTTTTCAAGAAACATGAATCTCATCAATATATATATTTATCCTTTATACAAGTACAATAGAAGGTCATACAAATGAGAAAGAGATCTTACATTCCTCCCAAGTGTCCCCATCAGAGTCGCACCCTTTCTTGCAGAATACTCTCCCTGCAAAGATTATTATTACAGTACATGATAAAGCAATTGTGTGCATCAAAAACTAAATTGACTTGTTGCGAGAATCGGGAGACGACAAAGATTTGACATTAGAAAACCATTGACTTGATTTATGTGCCTAATGAACAAAAAGATAATAATCACCAATAAATCCTTAATATACATAATAAACTAGATTTATGATTATGCATCCCTATTCGGTAATAATACTTCAGTTAATGCCAAACCACAATATAAAAGCTCTGTTTACATCAGTAATAATACTTCAGTAAGTGCCTTCTGAGTCCCATAGGAAGCCATGGCTGAGTATTAATTAACTAAGCAATCAAATATACATCTACAGGAACCATTTCCCGAAACTTAAAGCCACAATAAGAACTCCACCTATGAGAAATACTTCAGTGACTTCCACTATTAGGATACATACCTAGTTTGAATCCCCAACCGTCATGTTCCTACTTTTTACTCCCACGAGTAGATTCTTTTGTCTCTAGTAGTCCTTGCGACCACTTGTCTGGTCAATTTCTATACAATTTCCAGTTGAATTTAAAAAGGAGTTGCCTCAAGGATCTTAAGTTGTGAGACTAAAAGTGGAAAAATGAATGTCAAGGACCAATGAGTAGAAATGTCTTAATAGAGGTACGACTGAAGTGAAATTAATTATCTCACCCACAAAACTTTACCCTAGCCATTGTGATATGTTACCATTATGGATTTATAAACTTTAATACGTATTCAAATCTCTAACAACCCAAAATTTAACAACACTCAATTCAACCAGGCTCTAAAACAAACTAAATCACAGTTTTAGCTCTGCAAATAAGCTTTCACTGGTTTCTACACATAAAACTCTGCAAAAACGCCAATTCTAGAACGGAGGAAAATGAACAACACATCCTGACCAGTTGCCCCCTTACGTATTTTAAAAAATTGAAACATTCAAGGTCACTGCTGAAGACGATAGAAATTTGCAAAACTAAGAACAGATTAAGCAAATGCGAATGCACATAGCATCATAAAAATGAACACCGCGAAGACACGCAAAAGAAGCACACATTATGTTCTGCATAACATGGGAAAATGTAAAAGTCGGGGCAAGAGTAGGGAGATTACAAGGAATTTGCATGAGACTAGCGTATTTCTGAGTGCATTGATTGTTACATGGCGGTGTCCATTGCAGCGGAATCATTTCTCTTTTCCTTCTAAAACAGATGAAACCTCCCCTCTTCCCGTTTTACCTGTTCGGTCCCTTTATTGACAGATTATTTTTATTACTGGAAAATGGAAGTTTGGGTCATGAAAGGGAGAATATAAGACGAAGAAACCGGGAACAGGTGGGATATGTCTGATCGTGTGAATAAGGGGCATAGAGAGTCCAATTAATTTGGTACTGATGTTATGCTCATTTTGTAAGTCACGTATGATAATTTGATACTGATGTTATGCTCATTTTAAAATGTCATATGAATGCATATTTCAAAAATATCATACTATATTAAATTCGCATATTGAAATTCATAGGAGTCTATTATAGATATAATTTTGAAAAGTTTTCATAAAAGAAAAAATAAGAAAGAGAAAATTACTTAGATGATATGAAGCAGAGATCGTGATGCTCATTATTTGGTTTCTAATACTCAATAAAATAGGTCAAATGCTCAGTAAAAGTACACTAATGCTCATTTAACGAAAGTCGTGATTACACCTGGATGTATGATATAGGCACTGGCTTTTAATGGCTACTAGCGAATATTAATTAAATGTTTCATTATCTTTTCATTATTGCGTATTAGAATCATGCAATTGAGTATCATGATTTGTGGTCTAGTGTCTATAATCAACTTTTATGTCCTAATGTAATTTTAAAATATGTATTGATATAACATTTTTTAAAAATGAACATAGTATAGGTACTAAATGGACATACATAACTTACAAAATGAGTTTTCAAAAATTCAAAAGCTTGTTTGAATTCTCTAATGTGTTTTAAATGTTCATTTGTGCAAATATAATATAATGACAAATATAGTAATGAAAAAATACTAAATTTATATTAAAAATAATTATAGTCTTTTTGTTCTGGAATTAAAAATAAAACCGAGTTCTTTTTATAATGTTTACTCATGCATATTTATTTTACACTATACTTATTTTAGTATAATACAAAACTCATGCTAGTAATTAGCATATAATATTTAATAATCTAATAAATATTCATCTTAAATTGAAAATAGAAAAATAAAACATTAATATCTTAAATATCCATCATAGATTAAAATCAATGGAAAAGGTGGATAAGAAAAAAAGGAAAAAAGAAATAAGAAGGAAGTACGTAGAAAGCAAAAAAAACAAGGCGGGTCAATTCAAGAAAAAGAACTGGGACGAGGGTCACTATGTAAAAGGAGCCTACTCACCATGTGTGGGCCGCATCTCCATAAAAGCTGTTGACCATGACTGCCGGCCCTGTAGTCCACAACGCAGGAATGAAGATTACAAATGGAAGTACAAAATATTACAAAAATACCTGGATGTACGGTGAGCACCGTACATCCGGGTGTACGGTATAATTTACCGTCATAGGACTGACTCTGCAAGTACGGGACAAAGTCCCGCTCTCTATCTGTCACATTGTGATTATAGTCTAATTTACATCCTCCCAACGTACCGTCCAGTCGGGGTTGAAGGTCCTCACGGATGGGGTGTCATCCTTTTATTACGAAGTATTCCGTATTTTGTTTAATATTGCCTTGGGAAAATGCATGTTGATTAATTAACGGAAAACTGGTATTCCACCCGTGCTTTGTAGAAATTTAATATTCAAACACATTCGTGTTTGTATATTACTACCTCTGTCCCATTAAGTTTGAGACAATTTGATTTACCATATTTGATAAAAAATTTACTTTAATATGTGTAAAAATGAGATGCAAGTCAAAATATCACCCCTTGTCTTAAAGCATCTTATTCAAATTCAATGCAATCCCATCTTTCCCTAACCGCGACCTCAACTGCAGTTCGAACTCCCAATACCCTAGTTTCAGCCGAACTTCAATCACCACTTTTCGAAGCAGTGAAAGCCTTGATATTTTCACAACAAAAAGAAAATCATAAAAAATAATGCTAATATAAGAAGTTAAACAAATACACATATTACAAATTTTGAAGATCTCAGTATAGATAACGCCTTTGAGAGTTTCGGATCTTTTTCAAGAAAGTAGAGCTGAATTTTATTTTTATTTCAATGTGTAAAAATGAGATGTAAGGGAGACACTACTAAATATGAATTATTTAACAGTTCAGCAGTTGTAGTTAAATATTTAGAATACTTATTGCACTAATAAGAAGGGGTAAACAGAATCACAACATGCAATTGTCTATGCATTACAAATTTATAGCACACACATGTAGCCAACCTAGGATATGTTCATTGAGAAAAAAGAAATAATGTCACTTTTACATCAAGAAGTAACGGATCTTTTTCAAGAAAATAGAGCTGAGTTTTATTTTGACTTCAATATGTGTAAAAATGAAATGTAAGGGAGACATTACTAAATATGAATTATAAATAATAGTGAAACCTAAGAACGTCTATCTTTCATGTCCATTTCTCGTATTTGATTAAAAAAGCCATGTACCTTAAACTGTTTTTTAGGGTGAAAAAAGTTATTTATCTCAACCTTGATATTCTTGTATTGAGGAAATATCAAGTAATGGCATTTAAATCTATACATATATAAAACACACAATTTTATAGACCTTTATAATGAGAAAAGTTAAAAAAACTTATACGGGAAGTCGGGAATATATATCCGTTTTTCTCCATTCTTTATGCCAAAGAATTTCCATTTGAATTCATTATAGGAATCCAACTTGCAATGGATTTGAAAATTTGAACCCATGGAGAGAATACCATTATCAAACAAAAAAATCATATATGCAGCGACTGGCTCGGTTTATTGCACATTAGCCATCACCCTGAATCATTTCTTTGCCCTAATAGGCAAATCTGGAGCCTCAGAAGTAGTGGGGAAATTTTAAACAATTTATTTAAACTAATAAACACTGTTGTTTTCTTTTAAAGAATAACTTTGTCTAAGAAATCACTCTACTTAATGGATATGGAACACATTGGCAAAAACATTTTTTAGAGTTTACGCAACATTAGGAGTTGAACGATTTTTAAATAAGTATTTTACGGTATTTATAGAACTATATGATCCAATAATGGAGTTTTTTCCTAATATAATGTTAAATAAAAAAATATTTATCAAAATAAGGTTAGGTTAAAAGTATTTCTAAAAATATTCCTCCCTTCAACTTCAGTTAAGAGAGCCGACATAGGTCCTCACCCAAAAAAGAAATCTCATTTTTATTTAAAAGTGGTATAACTTTTTTATTTGTGCTCTGATTTTTACAAAAAATAGACCAAAACTCAGAACTTTTTATTATCTTTCATATGACACCAATATTCAATATATAAAAAATAATAATACTTTGAAAATATCTTTTTTGTAAATGTTACGGGGTATATCTTTTTTATTTGTACTCAGATTGTTACAAAAAATATAGCTAAATTCACAACTCTTTCTTATCTTTTATAAGACACTAATTTTGAAGATATAACAATTAAAAAATTTAATTATATTAACTTATGAAGTTTATGATCATTTTTTACTATGCACACAATTAATCAGGAGGGATAGTTTATAATAAAACTGCACAAAGAATAAAATAATAAATAAAAGTGATGAAGTTTATGGAATTTTATTGTAAGCTATCACTCCTGATTAATTGTTTCCACGATAAAATCGATTATATATTGCACAAATCAATAGAATTAATTTTTTAAGGTTTATTTATTCAAAATTAGTGTCTTATGAAAAATAATTGATTGAGTTTAATCCAACTACGAGAGCTAAATCTATAGAGGCAGATGAAAATATGGCAGCGTAAGGCAGTCTTTTATTGATCAGTGTTTCGATCCCCTTTCAGGAGGTTTACAAGTCATATTTAAAGGCTAAGGAATTAGTGATTCAAAAGGAAACTGATACAATAAATGCTACCACCTCCGTCCCGCTATGATTGCCCCGTTTTACCTTATCAGTCCGTCCCACTAAGATTGTCTCATACCAAATTTGGTAAAGTTTGTGTGACTCTAAATCATTCTTACTTTATTCTTACTTTATCAATTCAATATCAATCACATAAACCACTGTTTATTGATTTGCGTGCCACTCCCTCTTGTACCATTGTTAGCGGGACGGAGGGAGTATTAATTACACATTAGTTCGAATAGGAATCTTGTAACGTCTTGACCGTTGTGCAATGATTATTCCTTTATTCCCACATTTCTGCTGTTAACTCCTGCCAGTTGCCATTCTAATGATAGCGTGCCACGTCAGCCCTAGGAATATTCCAGCCTCACTAGAACTCCGCCCAGGCTCGAGGCCTGCTTCCCAGCCTGGCCTGGTTGTGGGTTCCTCTCGTGGGCTTGATTCCTAGTTAGGCCCAGTGGTTATCTAACATTAATTCCGTTTAAGGGTTAATCCCGTTAAGGGCTTGATCCCGTTGTGGGCTTTTGGGTTGTGTTTCCGTAGTTGGGCCATGGTTGAATCCCATGGTATCATCACGAGCCCCCCACTCTCTAAAATCAGCGAGGTTGGATTTGGGGAGAGTAATTGGAGCGAACAATTTCAAATTTGGAATCTTTGGGGTGAACTGTAGCGCCGCTTGCATTAAATGTGCCCGACTTGACATAGGCTTGCAACCCGATACAGTTTCCAATCTGACTTACCATCTTCAGCACTCGAGCGTTATCATTGCGGTTCCCGAGCGGTTTCCAAACCCTAATTTCTTGGTTATTTAAACACCTACCGCCTCTCACTACATTCTTTCGCAATCTTCACTCTCTCTTTGGCCTTCGTCTTCTCGGTTGGGAGCTTTAAGCCGCAAAACACTTCCCTTCAGTCTTCCAACTTCATCAGGTTAGTTTCCCTGATGTCTTCTTCGATTTCTGTTCCTTTGCACCATGTATTTTCTGACGTGGGTGCCATCTCCAACCGGCCCCGCATTCCGGTGGACCGAGATGGGAGGGAAACTCACTTCTTCCTTTCTTGCGACTACGCCTGGCAGGTCCCGGCTGTCGCTTTATCTGACACCGAATTCGGTGAGGCGGTGGCCCTTGCGGGCTCTAGTGTCGTTTGCTCCCGCCCTACCCCTGGGCAAAACATTGTAGATCCCCCCTCCCCTTTTCATTTTGGGGTGCATCTGGCCAATCTGCAAGTAGGCCTTCGATTTCCTCTCCATAATGCCCATTTGAGCGTTATGA